CTTTAGGATATTCATGTCGATTGGAAATCGATTCGAAAATGTGCACGAACAGTTTTGTTCAATCAATTGTATATTTTTCTTCCATTTCTTTTTTTCATTTGCCCATTATTTATGCATCTAAATGTCCGATGGTATTTGCCTTTTCCCTCATGGTAACATAAACTGTTTGAATATTATTAAAATAACGTCTTGACCCTTGGGCTCTTTTTCTCTCTTATTATTTCCAGGCATCGGATCGTATTTGAACTGTTTGGCTTTGTTCTTGTCACTGAAGTATTCTTTTATTACAGTCATCTTCTTCTTGTAAATAACAGATGTTGTGCTAAATATCACGCATAATTATTTTGTTGTTTTAATATAGCATACATCGTTCATATATGAACGTGTACATAAGCAACATCATCAATTTCGAGCACCAATCGGTCTCGCTTCGGAATATGCCCATCCAATTGAATTTGTCATTTCGAACATTGGCCCTGTCGCTGCTGGTCCGTTACTCTTTCGATCTCACTTATTAACAACATGGATTTGGCTTTTGGTTGCACTTGTGAGCACAAACCATGGGCATTCAGGATATTCTATACCAGGTCCATTTGGTATTAATATTATCAATGCAAAATTTCACGACTTTCATCATTCACAATTTACCGGAAATTTTGGCAGTGTAGGTATACTTGATCGTCTTCATGGCACTGATAAAGCCTGGCGAGCACGAAAGATGATGGAAAAAAGCAAAAACAGACTGCTTGGAAATGAATAAAATGTGAGAACAAATTAGAACATTTCACTTTTGTTTTAATCAATGATTATTATTGTATTATAAGCAGCTGCTGTTATTATTGCTTTTCATTGAATGAAGAAGAAGAATAACCCTTTGAGGACGGAATTTTTTTAATAGAGAAAAAGCATTTTTCAACCGTTTTGTTTTATTTTTACTCAAAGTGACTACATTAAAATCTTATGATAATCAAAAAAAAAATTTTTTTCATCTTTTAAATAAAACGGCAATTTGCAAATAAAGCACTCGATGTTGGATGGAAAATTTCCTTCCTTGCTGCTACAATACGCACATCTTCTTCTTTTTCCTTTCACAGGCAAATGCATTTCATTATCAAAATTAAGAACAGTTTTTGGCGATGCTAGTTTAGACTTGTTTTCAGAAGGAGGTCTTCCACAACGTATTCGTTCACTACCGGAGCAGAGAGACTTCGCCATATATAAAAGAATGACTTCATTTATATTTTGAAATATGTGCATTGTTGAATATTTACCTGTCGTCTCTATTTAATATCCAATTATTCGTATTCCGTAAGCTACTTTCTACTCTTTCATTTTCACATTCCTTGTGACGTGTGTAAAGATATTATTCCTTATTTCAATATAAAACAAACAAAAATGATATTGTAACACGCTGTGAATAGTTCACCATTGCGCATATATATGTTCAAAATTTTGCTAGATCATCATATGTTACATGCGTTCTCACAATTTCGAAAAATCAACTGATTCGACGAATCCCAAGAATACAATGATTTTTATGAATTCTTTGTAAGCACTGGAAGCATTCTGAATTCATGGATTTCAGTCACATCCCTTCAATTATTTATTTACTTTTTATGAATGTTAACCTTTTAATTTTTTTTCTCTTTATTATCCATATGACTAATTAATGGATTGAAAAAGAAGAAGCATACCCCGCCTCTCGGCTACCTTGTCGTATAGGCTGCTGTCTGAGAACAGTTTCGAAAGCCTGATATTTATCCTACATCTATTACTAAATGTAGCTCTGGACAGAAGGCTGGCCTAACTCAGAATTCTTTCGCTTAATCACTTAAGTTCCCTTACATACTGACTAACCACATACTAGCCACAAGGATTTTAGTGTATGTCAACCACGTAGTCAATTTGTTATCGGATAGATGATTTGAGACAGAACAGCCATTAGTGACTTGTCCAAGGTCATTTTATAACTGATGGAACCAAGGGTGGGGGTGTACATATGGTTTCTGGAAAACTAACAGCCACACCCACACCCTGAAATTGTGCAATAAATTTCAATTTGAACTTTATCTAAGAAAAATTTGACTCAAATCGAATGAATGACAAAAAATAAACTTTTTCAAACGATATATTTTCCTTAGGATTTTTCTATTTTGAATATGTTCTTAATAGTGAGATAAAAGTTCGCACTAATATGAGTCAACTCGATGACGTGGTCTTGATATCTCACGGATAAGCAAATCTACGCATTAGTTAAACTATTTCGCCTTCTGTTGTTAATGTAAAGGTGTAGATCATTTTCATGAACTTGTTATGTTTTAGAATTAAAAATGCATTCGTGTCTTGAATCATTTTCAACCGAAGTTTTCTTTGAAATTTTCGAATATTTGTCTTCCATCGATCTTTATCGAGGCTTCGTTGGTCTGAATGGTCGTCTGCAACGAATCCTCAATCTGTATCCACTTCGACTTAACCTGCAATTGATTTGTCGATCAGACTTAGATTTTCTTTGTCATCATATTCAACCTAAGCAAGTTATTTCAATTGTTCTTTCTGAAGAAACAATACCCGATCAAGTTAAAATTTTTCTCAAATATTTTCCACGCTTCGAACATCAATTTATTTGTCTTCAATCAGTAGACTTCATCAAAACGGAAAATTGTATATCGCAGTTGCCACAATGCGTTTCTTCTCTATCGTTCAAAAAATGTTTGAGCAAGTTGTGGCAAGAAAATAAGATTGGTGATATACTCATTCATCAAGCCAAGGTCTTAACTCATTTGAATATTCAAGATGAGAGATTGATTGAATCAATCAATATTGAATTTCCTCTACTAAAACAGTTGACAATCGACTCGTTTTGCTTGATTAATCATCTTCGTCAGATGATCCAAGATTTTAAAGCTTCAATCATCAGTCTTAAGGTCTCTCTTCGATACGAAAATGATCATTATTTTCCATCAAAATTAGAGAAACTCTGCCAGAGTTTAAGGTATCTCAAGCATCTCAACATCACATTTCATAGCGGTAAAATTAGTCTTGTTTGTGAAAGATGTTATTGTCTTTTCTATTGTAGGAATTGAAATATCATTTAATTTACTTGAGCAAAGTCTGACTAATCTACCACGATTGACACATTTAACAATCGAAGCAACCGGTACACTCGATCTACTTGATGGCGCTCGTTGGGAAAAATTTCTGAGGAGAAGAGAATTAATCAAATTCAATTTTAAATTCAGTCTTTCACTAAATCTTGTTTGCAATCAAGATCAATTTTCATTACTCGAACCATTTCGTTCAGCTTTTTGGGTCGAGGAAAAACATTGGTATGTTGCCTGTTACCAAAATGAATGGGGTAACAAATGTCCATTCATTTTTTCTGTGCCTTACGTTATACATCACTCAATTGCATATCTGACAGATATCTATCCACCATTGTCGACAGCATCATCTGACATGGAAAAACAGTTATTCTATGATACCAATATTAATCATCTTGAGTGTTATTTTCCACGAAAGGACCGTCGACAAACTTATACTTTTACTAAAGTGAACTCATTACGTCTTATTGGGAGCTCTTCATCATTCAACTTAAACATTTTGACATCCACCGTTGATCTTGGTCGAGTTCGAATTCTCGATGTTTCCTCTGTTGATCACATATCGACATCTCAATTACGTGATCTACTTGAGCATATTCCTCGTTTATATCATCTAACGATGAGACAACAGAATCAATCATTTATTCTACCGTCACATATTCGTTCTCTCCATTTAAAGAGAAGTTTATCGCATGATACTATCAATTTTGCAAACATCGATCAACTCTGCTGTGAATTATTACATATTGTACAACTTGAAATTAAAGTACAAACACAAGAGTTGATGATCGAAATTATCGAACGATTTGATCAACTTGAAAGTATCATATTTCAATGGAGTGGCTACTTGTCAGAAAAGTACACCTCCTCTGAATGGTTTCAACAAAATACACGACGTCTTCATGAAAACAATTTTACATGTCGGAGAGAATCTGAACGTGAGCGAGGTGAACCTCGACGAAAGATCGGATGCGGTTACGTTCCGCCAAAGATATTCATTTATTTGTCGATATCCAAAAATGACCCAAAACAACCAGCATTGGAGAAAGATCAATATTCTCTTCACTGGTTACTAACAATTTTTCAGCGAGGATGGAAGAACTTATTCTACCAAAATTAGAAAAAATCACAATTTTGCCATAATTGATTGCATAATTTGTTCAAGCGCGAAGTCATTTACATTGACCAGGTGACATTACAATTTTCGTAGCGATGCATAAAAATATAAATCAATGTTTTGAACTTCGAAAATGAATAAATAAACATCTAACTTGAAATGTTGTACAGTTCAGACGTTTTGCTATAATCTCATGTAATAGAAACATTTTTTATTGTCTTATTATTTTCGAAAATCAGACTCTGTGTTTTGGAACGCCTAAAACTGATTTTTGAGGTAGTTTTTAACATTCTTCTTTCAGCATCATATGGAGTAATCGAATATATATTTGGAATCAAGTCAAATAATATTGATTTCCGCTCGCTGTATCCATTTCCAACGCCGAATTCCTATATGATGAATAGTCATCTCTGATCAACGAAGCACTTACGAATCTACATGAATTGTGAATTTTTGAGCTAAGACTGTTTCGAAAGACTCAGATTTGGAAAAACGATGAAATATGTCTAAAGCCAGGCATCTATAGCAACTTTTTTCAAACACTGTTTATTGCCGCGAGACTGTAGTAAACTCGGTTGCATATTTCGATTCTCACATCGATTAAAAGCGATATAACAAGGTATCTTATTTATATGGTTTTGTAGTGCGTGAGACGCGCTGTCGAATGGTGAATAATCACCATTTGTCTGTTTGGTTAATTTTCAATGGAGAAACGGATTTCGCAACTGAACCCAGAACACTGATGCATTTTTGACGGTTTGATGAGATTCATGTATTTTGCAACGTCCGTATCTCAAGAGGACGTTAATCCACGATTCTAATTTTTTAAACTTGTGTATTTCATACACTAGGATCTTTCAAACTAAATGTGAAAGATCGAATTTTGAATTCCAGCTCCGGATGACCCCTACGAATTTGAGTGATGTCCTCGCGAAACCTCTCTTAAAAACAAGACATAATGAATATGAATGATCCACTAGTGACAGAATGAATTGATGATTCAAACGAATTCACTATTGGATCAATGTCTTTAAACTATTCTCAAGATTCAACCAAGAAATGAAGTTTTTTATTGATGTGTTGGTTCTCATTGAAGATCACAGAAATCGAAAGATTTTTTTGATCACAGAGAATTGTTAAGAGACGAAATTGAACGTAAGATTGATACAATATTATAATTCTACTCAACTGATTGTTGTCACATATGCTAGTGAAAATAACGATGATCTTATTCTCTCACTCAACAATATCTGGCATTTATCCAAGCTTAACATTTTTCCATGTTAAATCCATGTATTATCGTCAATAATTGCCGTTTCGAAGAATTAACAATCGCCTCATCCTCGATGGAGTAGATTTCGATTTGAAAAACTTCGAGATTCACTCCAATGACTTGTCGAATATATTCAAGAAGACGCTCATCTTCAACGACTTCGCACGACTGTTGAACCTGATCCACATATTGGACTACCACTGTTCCAGTTCCATTGATCAACCCTTTCAAAAATTGTGTTGTTCACGACGTACGGTGATCAATTTTTCGCCCAACAAATCTCATTTGTGTCGTTTAACAGTCCAAACAGGAAGTTTTTATTTAATTGGACATCAATGGAAAAAGGTCATTGTCGATCGTCTAATGGAGATCTACATAGGATAACTGAAAACGTACTTCTGATTCAATAAAAATTGGTGACCAAAGAAGAAGTCGTTGAATTATTGACTACATTTCGAACTCTGATTTGACTCGATGAAACTCACTAACTATCGTTCAATATGGAGAGATTTTCTATGAACAAAATCTTGATATTGTTTGTCATTTTCATTGCCGATATTCGTAAGATAAGTACTAGTGCTCGTACAAATATCATCCAGCAAATTAGTGTCACAACAATTTTGACACGTAACGTATACTTTGAACTCCGTGTCAAACAAACATTATTCAACATCACTACAGAAAAACTCTGTTGTTCCTGGTTTTAATCATGCAGCTATTACTAGTCATGAACAACTACTACCTGTGTTTTGCATAAAACGGCAACAAATTATTTACTTAAACTTTTGTACTTTTTATTTTGAAACTGTGAATGTGAGTGGAACCTTTTGCAAGTGGATTGAACAAATATTATTTTTTCTTTGTGTGGTCATTTGTGAATTAAACTTAATTGTATCGTTATTTTGATCTATTCGAACACATGCATACTCGCGATTATCTCCAAAGAAGTGACTTTAGGTTTTCGATGATAGTCTGTCGTGTTTTCACCATACCAAACAATGTTGTTTTAGCAGGAAGAGACGTCCTATATAAATTCTTTTGTCAAATTGTATATTTTCAGAAAATCCCAGGTCGAAAGCACACAACCGAATCCTGCCGGATCGGATCAATCCCCACGACATTCGGCTCCCGAGTTCTTTCCGGACTCCGACTTTGGATTCCTTTAAAGTCCGATGTATTCCGTCGATCTCTGGTAATCGGATTCTGGCTGATTCCTTTCGTCAGATTCGATAAAGATCTAGTGAACGGAACCGGCAGGGACTGACAGGAACCAACGGACTTTAAGAACCAAAAACTCGACAGTCGATATTGAGAAATTTGAGGTTGTGGGTATGGGTGCGTGGCTGTGGATATCGGTGTGTGCGCGTGGGTGTGCGTGTTCGTCTTGTAATCCGCACCCATATTCACACTCACAGATCCGCCCACACACCCACACACCCGCACACACTCACATCCACACCCCCATTCTGTCTTAAAATGTTTAGCAATTATTCCAATACTAGTACATAGTATGAAGTCTAGTAATTTTATGAGATGCTCAGTTTTCATTGCTTGGTTGGTGACATTATGTGCCTGTGATGCTATACAGTATATGATCAATAATACGCATCATTCTCTAGTATACTATCAAGTGGGTCACTTCTTTTGTGAACACAAAGAGTCGGGGTCAACCAGCTTCGCTAATTTTTTAGCCAGTCAAGATCTAGGCATGAATACATGTATACATTATTATATAAAGGACACATTCACCTGCGAATCTCACTACTTTGTATATTCGTACCTTCTATAAATCACTACTTTTCCTGGAAAGGCTATTTGCCTTATATTTCACAAAGTATTCCGACAATTCGACATATTGCTACTGTTTATTTTGCATGTTGTCCTCCGACGTTTTGTAATGGAAAAAGAATTTAATGAACACAAAGTAACTGTAATTTTCTTCGCAAGTAGATCATTCTATGTTTGCCTTGTTTCGTCATTCTATTGAAAGTTCAGAGTTTTCAATCTAAATCTAAAAAAGTGTGGTATGTGGATGTGGTCTTCATCCAATAGTGTAAAACTTGAAACTTGAATTCAATTGAAATACACGTGTTCGTCTTCAAATTTCAAGATTCAAGGCTCATAAACTAGATTCTCAGTTGCCTGCAGGATGCCAGATCATTTCTACAGAATGTTACTTGCTACGACTAGAATGCTAGAAACGGTATGTAGCATTCTAGGTGATATCTTTCGGATATTAGACGCCACCTATCGGATGCTATACATCATCTATAAGATGCTACACGTTATCTACTGTATTCTAGAGATTACTTCTACTATGCTAGACGATAGCTTAAAGTGTGGATGTCGTTATCGGTATTCATAAAGACAAGAGAAAACCATTTCCGCACAACATGTCGGCCACACCCACACCTGCCGGTGTTGTTAAAAGTAATTCTAACTAACGAATAAGAAAACAAATTCGGGATGTATTAACTAATAAAGATTTGTCTTAAAACTGGAGTCGACTTGGATACTGTGGCTGCTATTAGAGATGACTTACGCATATTCTCAGAATATATCAAAATCGACTCAATTCCGTCAGTGTGAACATACTTCAAAAGTATTCATTCGTTTTGATACAGAATAGGATGATATAACATATACTACCGGTGGTATTTGTTCGGTGCGAGTAATATAGGTCATCTCACGCATCATAGTACCTTGACTAATAATAATAAAAGCACAAGTAGTCTGGGCAGATACATACATATAGCAAGAATATTGCAAAATTACTCAGTTCAATGATAATTCAAAATAAGAAAAGATAGAAGTAAAAATATCATTTTGTTAAAAATTCTCCTCTAAATATAGATATAAAATAAGAGAACACTGTTCGATAATATGTTTCTCAAGGGATATAGGTCAGCATTTGATTTTAACAACATTAATATGCCACGGAGAACCTGGAATATGTTGATCATCCCATTTCACAATCAACATATAATAAGGAGCCTTCTTTCGAACTATATATTCAACATAATATTGGTTTTTTCCAATGTACTGTATAAATACTTCTTTACATGGACCTTTTGGACTAAGTACATCTACCGTTAACTTAGCATTTCCACTATCACATGCATCTACAATAAATGTTGCTTTTTCATTTTTAATAGCTCGTATTAAACCATCCCCATGTACTCGTACTCGACTTGCATCCACAATAGTATTATTATTTTGTGAACTTAATGAATATGATGTCCATTTAATAATGGTATCGGAATTTCTATGAATTGTTAGTTCTCCGTCTGAACGTTGAGTATATAATGATAATATTGTTGTCATCTTACTTAGATCATCAACATCTCCACGATTTTTGTGAACTCCAGTACCTAAATATTCATTGACAAAACGAAGAAAGTAATGCTATTAATACAATTCCGCCCGAATTCATATATCAAACATGATATAGCTGCTAATCACATAAAGATTGTTTTATAAGAATATATATATATGCAATAGTTTTTTACTTAAAATTCTTCAGAAATAAAATAAGGAAAGAGTTCATAGATGGTCCTTTTTGGAGAGTATCTCAACAACTTATGTTATGACTTTTGATGTGGAGATACTCTATATTTCAAAACTCATTGTTTTAGATCGCGTTATAGAAAAAATAACATAATCAGTGATATTACCTACAACTCAACATTTAGATAGACTACCGGTAATATTCATTCCAAAAAATTTAATTGAAATAACATAATCCCCTGGTACTGGTGGTATAAATGTAACATGATAACCCAGAAAAACGAAAAATATCTCCATAAGTAAATTTCAAGAAAGAAAAAGAAATATTATTTAAATTAAGTTTACCTTCAGTTACTGCTTTACAATCAGGTTGAACTTTTGTTGGCCCATTAACTGTAACTTTCAATACACCAGTAGCAGCATTTGTTGTATCACCTAAAAATCCACCTGATTGACCTTAAAATAAATAGCAAAGTTTTTAATTTTTAAACTAAAATACAAAAAAAGAACGAAAAGAAGATTTTTTCAATTTTTACCAATAACTCCTTCATGTAAGCCAGCACCAGAAGCATCAAATCGATCTGGATTAGGATTAGTTTGACCAATAACAACTCGAAATGGTGAGTTCGGAATATGTTCATGATTAAATTTAATTGAAATTACATATTGACCCGCTTTGGAACATACACATGAT